GGCGAACAATGAGGGCTGATGAGAAGCCAAGGACAATGGCACTGGGTTTTGATCCTACTTCATGTTCTGGCTTTGTGGGAGCCTAGCCAGTTTGGATGTTCACCTTCCTAGACCTGGATGGAGGGGAGAGGACCTTGGACTTTCCACAGGGCAGGGAACCCTGACTGCTCTTCGGACTGGAGAGGGAGGGGGAGACGGGTGGAGGGAGGGGGAAAGGTGTGGGAGGAGGGGGAGGGAAGTGGGAGGCTGGGAGGAGACAGGAATATTTTTTTCAATAAAAAATATATTTCCTGTAAAAAAAAAACACAGAAAAATATCACTCATCATGGTCAAGCCTGCCTTCATTCCAGAGATGAAGACACTATTCAATATATACAAGGTAATAAATGTAATACATCATTGAGCTGAATACAAGGATCACTCCAAAGAAGCAGAAAAGGCCTTTGGGAAAACCCAACATCCCTTCACAATAAAAACCCCAAAGACACGGGGACAGAGGGATCATATCTCAACACAATGAAATACAATGAATTCTTTCTTGGTCTTGCTGAAATTTCATAGTTTCGGGCCCATCTAGTTTTGACATATAGTACAGATATCTGGAGATAATCTTTTGGCCTTCCAAAACACTGAGATGTTATAATTTCTTGCTCACCTTTGACTGGAAGGTTATCTCTTAGATTTTTACTTTCTTTCTCTGTGAGTTCAATTCCCATGTTTCCGAGAGCTTTGTCCAGGTCCCTGAGATCAACCATCCCTCCTTAGAAACAGAAAAAGGAGGCAGTTAAATGGCTTCAGTGCACTCAAGGTATCATTGTACCCTCATCTTATTTAATAGATGTATTGCCTAAGAGGTGTGATGGAAAAACAACAGTACAATAAGTTATGCCAACGCCAGAAAGTTAGGAGAGGAATTATGAATGGAACTTGTTTTACCAAATGTTGACTGGAAGAAAGAGGCCACAAGAAGCAACTTATCTTGGCTTTAGAAGTAGTATGGCCTTGAAAATTTAGACTATTTGACATAAAGTTATAAATAACTCTTTGCTATATAAAAATATTTTTCAAATTGTTTTTTTTCCTTCTGATAAACTTTGGGACAACTCAAGGCTATATGAAGAAATAGAAATAAGGATATTTATAGTGGTATATTATTTGTGTTTTAATAAATAAAGCTTGCCTGAAGATCAGAGGGCAAAGCAGCCATACTAACCATCCATTCAGGCCAGGGAGTGGTAACACACACCTTTAATCCCAAGATTTGGGAGACAGAGGCAGATGGATCTCTGCTAGCTCAAGGCCACCTTGGGCTGCTACACTTGATTCAATCTGTCTGAAAGAGAAACAGAGCTCACACAAAGAGGATCCCAGCACTTGGGATCACATGCCTTTAATCCTAGCACTAGGAAGGTGGAGAAAGGAGCAATATGGTTGGTGGAGAGAGGAATATAAGGGGGAAGAGACAGGAACTCAGTGGAGTGTGGAGTCTGAGGTTGGAACAGAACATTGCCAGATCTCCCCTTTGTTTGTCTGAGCCTTGGTAGAGGTAAGATCTCTCTAGTGGCTTGGCTGTTTTGCTTTTCTGATCTTCAGCTTGAACCCCAGTATCTGTCTCTAGCTTTTTAGTATTTGTGCTACAGATATTCCCTAATAAAACCAATTTGTAAAGAAGCATAGGTAATTAGTAAATGTCTAATACTTATAAATACAGACACTGGAATTTAATATTTAAATTGTTACCTTTAAGAGACTTTACAGCATCCAGCACATTATTCTGATATAACTTCCCAGCAGCTACGAGAAAAGGTAAATTCATGATAGAACCACATTCATGCAGATAACATGTTCTGTGACTCTAGAATCATGTCAGAACCACAGTCATGAGGATTACATGTTCTATGACTCTAGAATCTGCTTTTCATGTTTAGTTTAAAATGCAAGTTGGAATGGCAAACCTTGACAAAGTGACAAATCTCTTTGTCACCTAAGTCACTGTGTACTAGGACGCCTCTCAGGCATGATCACCGTTGCTGCCTCCACCACCATTACCATGGCCATCATCCCAGCATCCCATCACAGTTCACCACGTTTAGCTCTGTTTAACTATGTACCAATTACTT